CAAACATTTTCACATTTTTACCACATTTGCTAGTAATGTTATTATTCAATTTAATTTATTTCTTTACTTTCACTATGATGTATATCATAACTGAATAAAATTTTAATTCAAAACACATGACTAAAATCATTTGACATTGTGATGTTGTAAGAGTTTATGTAAATAGAGTTAAATGTAACAAATATTTAAAAATAAAAATAAAAAAAATCATAAGTTAAGAGATGGTTATTACAGATATGACATATATGTTCAAAGTTAATATGAAAAGCAAAGTTATCTTAGAGAAAATATATATCATAGAAAAAATATTCATGTTAGAAATTTTTGACCATTGATTATGGCATCTATATCATAAATACCAATAATCATCTGTGATCGAATCACAGTTAACCGACATAATCTTAGCAAACTCATGCAAAAAAAACGTCAATGGTAACAAAACCAACTCAAATATAATCATGGAACAAGTCTACCATATGTACGAAACTTGTTTAACATACGACACTTCAAAACAAGTCTACCAAACGGTAGGTTTTTTGGTAGATAGAACAATTCTTTCAGGACAAAAAAGTAATTTCACTCCATAAAGTCAAATGTCTGCCAAACATTAACTACTAAGTCTACCTCAAGCATGAAAAATAACTCTACCATATAAACAAGTCTACCATAAGCATGTCATATGTCTACCAGATCAAGGTTATCTTTGTAAATACCAAACTTAATTAATCTACCACATTATTATTTTAAGAAGTCTACCATACGTTCGATAACTCTACCATATTACATAAACTCTACCAAACATACAAACAAATCTACCAACATTTCGTAAGTCTACTTCATGTAATTATTAATCTACCACAAACCTGAATGAAATTTATTTTAAATTTAAGTCTACCACAAAACAAACATATCTACCACAAAACAAATAAATCTACCAAAAGTTTTTAAGTCTACCTCATGTAACATATAATCTACCACTCACCGGAATGAATTTTAACTGAATTAAATCTACCACAAGTCAAACATATCTACCACAAAAGCGAAAACTCTACCAACTATATATAACTCTACCATAAAACAGATATATCTACCGCACGTATTAACAACTTTTTCACATAAATCTACCACTAAAGGAAATAAGTCTACCAGCGCAGAAAATAAATCTACTTCATTGTCAATAAATCTACCGAAAAAGTCAACTACGCGAGCAAGTCAACGCTTTTTTTAACAAGTCTACCAAAACTTTTGACAAGTCTACCATTCATAACAACAAATCTACCGAAACATAATAAATCTACCTCTCATCGTCAAAATTCTACCAAGATAAGTCTACCAACATTTAAAAACTCTACCAACTCTCGAATAAATCTACCATCGACCTAATAAATCTACCAACAAAATTTCTGCGTTGACCAAAATTTCATAAGTCTACCGTCATAGCTTGGTAGACTTATTAAATTTTGAGCGCCATAATCTGCCTACGTGGCATTAAAAAAATAATGGCATTTTCGTAATTAGGTTTTTTTCAACAAAGGCGAAAAGGGTGTTTTAGGTATGCTAGGTTAGTTTTGTAAAAAAAATAAAAGTGCGTCGAACGAGTAATATAGATACTTTCTAAGGTTAGTGTAGTAATCCTCCCTAAATTTTAAGATAGAATTAACTTGAGATCTGTCATGCACATCTGCTATTATTTTTCTCCTTCTTTTTGGTGCACCGATTTCTTCTTTTTTTTAAAGATTTCGGAGGCATTTTGTTTGCTAAAAACCCACAACTCACTTGAGTAATTAATTACTCTTTAAAAATAAAATTTTTTTTAATATAACTTAATCCACAAACAATAAATTATGAAAGACCAACAGCCCACTAAGATAACTAATTATTATTTTCAGATGAAGAGTCCCTAAATGCAGTTTCCTCTTCAAAAGTTTTGAAGTCTTCGATGTAGGATATTAATAAATGACAAAGTCGCACACAGGTGGACTCGAACCCGACCACGTGCTTAGCCATATCTCACCCTCCATCCTATAAACCAACTGAACTAACTTAATTAACATTTGAAAAATTGACCCCTAAAACATATTTAATTCTTCCACCCTGAAGCATATGTTTTATCAGCCTGTGTTCAGACACGGCTCTGAGCTCAGGCTAAATTGAGTTTGATGATTTTCTCACACCCGAATTAAGTCACAACTCTACCAAAATTGATTACAGAATTAGAAAACCACTTGTGAAAAGTAAATACACTAAGCGTTTATCTCAACTTAAGCAATTGGAAATTAATCAGATAACAAAAAGTTGGCAAAGACAGAAAGTTGAAATTATATTTAAAAGAGGACATGGACATTTGGCTTGCTCCAAAGTCTTTCAAAAAATAATAATATGTGTATGCACCATGACCTTATAATTGAACTATTCTTGAATCTTGACTTTGACTTTGTGTTGCGCTCCATTGTTTGATCTTTTTTATTGTTCACATAAAATTTAAGAGATGAAACAGTGGCTCATAATTTATATCTTAACTGCTGGCTCTGGCTATCACTTGAATGTTTGAAATCAAAACATGTCATCTACTAATTCTACCAAGAGTTAGAAGACTTTGTATAACATTGTTCTACAGTGGTTGACTTTGCGTAGAATATTTGTGGAACAGTCGATTGTTCAACAAGTTGATTAGTTGAACCCTTTATATATCACAAGTTTATATTAATTTTCATAATTTAGGTATGAGTGTATCTATTTTTTGGAATTTAAAGTAAAAAAAAAATTATTGTAAACAACTGTAGAAGTGATTTTTGTTTGTATTTCTTTGTTTTGTTCACTCATTCTGTCTGAGACAGAGCGTTGATTTCCTCTGTTTTACTATTTTTTTTGTCAACTCCTCTGTTTATCATTTTTCCAGTTTAAAACAGAGTGTTTTGTTATTTTTTTAAAGATTAATATATGAATGCATGTTAAGGGAAAACAGAAACTTTGGTCTCTCATATTTTACTATTTCCTTGGTTTTTTTATAGTAATATGTCTAATTGCTACTCTGTTCCGAAACAGAGATAATTTTTCCTCTGCATTGTTCATTTACTCATTTAGAAATAGAGACCATCTTTGTTCCGCCTCTTTGTGAAGCAATTTTCTTTGATTAATCAGCCCTCATCTCATTAGATAATTGTAACATCCCAGCCCATCTAAAAACCCAGCAGGAAATCTATTCCCTAAAATTCGTTCGTATAAAAAAGAAATCTTTAAGAAGAGCCTCATTCTCTGCAAATCACCCCCTCCCCAGCCACAGGAAGAGAGAGAGAGAGATCGCCCAAGCCTTCGTCCGGGCCTGCCGAGCCACCGCGAGTTACCACCGAGCCGAGGAGGAGCTGCCGAGAGCCTTTTCTATCCCATCATTTCCTTGATTCGTTTAATTCTCAATCTTCTTAATCCAGATCTGCAAATCGGCCAAAGTGAAGAGTAGATCTAGGCTTTCAATATCTTATTTGTTTATTTTTAGTGTATTGAGTCTAGGTTATACAAGTAGATTGGTTGATGCATCTAAGGAGACCATGAAAAAGTGAAATGGATAAGAAAATCATTAGATGTAGCACCAGCATAATTGTTTATCCATCTGGTTGATTGCTTAATGTTTGTAAAGTAGTTAGAGATAAGTGATCGACCTGTGATAGGGCACAGTAGTTCGATCATTGATTATTGGGGTTCATACCTGAAAGAAAGGATGATCCACATCGTTTGTTGGTTGAGGCGAACCATTTTAAATGTCTTCGTGACCAAATAGTTTGTTATGTCTTGAACATGATGAGAGTTTACCTTGTCTTGAACATGATGAGAGTTTGTCATGCCTTGAGCATGATGATCCTTTCTCTGTATTTGTTTGTGTGCTTGTAGATCACTGCTTGTTGTTTGTGTAGTTTTAGGTTTGATATGTTGGAAATAACTGGATAATGTAAGGGGAGTGTTGACTTATTTCTCACTGAATAATTTTCCCAAATTACTTACCTTTCAATTTTTTTTTTAAGTGAGTATGAAGATTATTATCTTGATGGCTACGAGAAAGAGTAGTCCGAAGTAGTGTGCTTTTGGAATGTATTTTTCTTTTGTTTATTTTAATTTCAGTATTTCTTGTTAAGATTTTTTCGTAATTTGCTTCGTTTTTTTTAAATTTAAATTATAAATTTTAGTTGCAAAATTTGATTTTTATTAATTGAATAAAAGTATTATTCAGAAATATGTTTATCTAGTAAATATAGTAAATCGGTTTAGAACCGAAGGTGACAGTCCGGTTCGTCACGGATTGGTCTGTTACAATAACATAATAATACGATAAGATTTATTTTCATCTTCACTTCGTAATATCTCATTGCAAATTGGCTTTCCAATACTAATCAAGGTCAAGAGTAAAACATTATTTGTCAAACATCAAATGCACTGATTCTAAACTGAAACATTTCAAAACACACAAAAAAAGAGACTTTGAACTTTATTTACATATATCGATGATAAAAGTTCATAACTCACTAACAACGCGAATTGAAGATAGTTCCGTAAAAAGATACATATAACAAATATTTATGTTGTACCGCATGATAATTCTTCATGTAATCTACCGAGCCGTTGGGTTCACGTCGGTACCAAATGTCAAACTCACTTCTATGGAACTCTTTGAGTCCATGTCCCTACTCGCTCCTCCTCTTGAATTTTCAGATGCTAGACAATCGTTTAATTCAATAACAACTTGAGACATGGTAGGTCTTCTCGTTGAAGATGGGTTCAGACAAGACATTGCTAGTTCAACAGCTTTCCACACAGAACCTGAATCATAATCTCCATTTAGACTTGGATCCATAATGCTTGTGATGTCTCCTTTAGTAAGCATTAGCCCCACCCATTCTGCTATATGTGACTTTTCACGACTTTGGTCGATCACCCGTCGGTTTGTGATGATCTCCAATAATACAATCCCAAAACTATATACATCACTCTTCTCTGTCAACCAGTTTGTTCTGTAGTATCTGGAGAATGAATTGAAGCATAGATATATCATTTTTCTTTCCAATAATAGAAAATGGAGAATCTATCAAGCGATTATACTTACTCGGGATCGAGATATCCTGGAGTTCCAGCAACAGCTGTTGACACATGAGTTTCACCTCCAGTGGGAAATGACCTCGAAAGGCCAAAATCAGCAAGTTTGGCCTCAAAGTGTTCATTTAACAATATATTTGTGGTTTTGACGTCCCTATGAACCATTTGTGGTTTGCATCCATTATGCAAATACTCAAGTCCTATGCCACAAAATCCGACATGTTTAATCAAATGATAAGCAAAGAAACAAAGATAAGAAAAATGATAGGGACAATCTGTAAACCAACCTTGTGCAGAGTCGATGACTATTTTTAGTCTAGTTCCCCAATTGGAAATAAATCGGTTTCTTATTCCTGTGTTTTAAATGAGAGATAGATATCAATGTCTTATGCTATAACCAGAAATCTACAACAATACATTCGGGTCATGTTTGTCTTCTTACCTGACATATGTTCTTTCAAATCTCCATTGGCCATGTATTCATAGATTAGAGCCACGTTCTCTCCTTCGTCGCAATACCCAACAAGACCAACCAAGTTCTTGTGATGAACTCTAAGAAGAAGTTCTACCTAAACAACAAGCCAGAATACATAAGTTCAAGTTCTTAAAAATAGTTGAATCGTTGATGTTTTCGTAGAGATAGTGATGAAATTGAGAATTTACCTCAGCTTTGAATTGTTTATATCCTTGAGATGATGAATGCGAGAGCATCTTAACAGCTACTTGTTCTGTACCGTTCACAAAACCATGGTAAACGGTTCCAAAACCTCCTTTACCAAGGACTCTTTGGAAGTTATTTGTCATCGTCATAATTTCCGAGTAAGTAAACCTTTTATTCTTTGTCATTGTTGCTGGTTCATATGATCTAGGAGTTCTACCATCTGACGCTTGCATATATGATGGTGGTGGCCCTAAGATTAGAAAGCAAAAAATTTAGCCAGACTTACTTAAGTTTGATATTTATGTATGTGGTGATATTATTCTCGGGTTTATTTATTAATACCTTCTACTTTTGATGCCTTTTTCTTTCTGAGAACAAGGAACAGGACGAGTGCACCTATAAGAACAGCTATTGATGCAATTGATGCAACCACTGGTACAATGGTACTCTTTTTCTTATGTCCTTTGTTCACACATGAACCAGTTGTGCAAAGAAGATGAGGGTTTCCTTCAACACTGCAAAAAGTGAGTGTTGTTAATATACCAAATAGTACATTATCTGAATCAGTAGTGCAAAGAAGATGGGGATTGTTGTCGAGAATTTGAGTGTTAATGATACCAAATACATCAATTGGCGTGATAACAATTAGAAAAAAAAAATATATATATAGCTTACTGTAGCATCAATCCTTTCTTCTGAAGAAGTGAGGGAGGAACCGAGCCACTGAGATTATTACCTCTTAAGTCTCTGTTGGAGTAGACATATAGTTAAAACATAAACAAACATGTTCAGGAGAATGCCAAGAGTAAACAATCTGTAGTGTCTCATGAAAAACTTACATGACCAAGAGTGATTTTATGTCAGCTAGAAATTCAGGTACTTCTCCAGACAAATTGTTATTTGACAAGTCCCTACCATTAACAAAGGTGAAATATCACATCAAACACGATTAATTTCAAAAGGCTAAACAAGTTTTAGACTTTTAGGCTTGGTCATATACTTACAGTTTTTGTAAGTGAGTAAGATTTTGAATGGCATGCGTGATGATCCCGGTTAATTCACTTGCAGATAAGTCTCTGGAGAAAGAAACTGTGAGATATCTAGTTCAAAAATCGACATGATTTAATAGAGAGAAATATTATTGAATGATTCATCTTACAATGAAGTGATTATCGGTGGAGTAGAAATATCGGAGTTATCGCAGTTTAGACCGTCCCACAAAAACTGTTTGGGGACACATGGATCTCCTTGCCAAGTGGTTTTATTCAATCCATAAGCATCTTGAACATTCTTGATACCAGCAACTACGATTGTAAAGCTTGATGATATCAACAATCCACACACAAAGCGCAAAAACATTTGTAGGTAAGATAAAGAATTTATAATTAAGACAATCAACATACCGTCATCTTCATTTGTCTCCATTTGCGGGAAATCAATCACAGTGTAAACTTCGATAGCATTAAGTAGAGGTGGAAGAGTTGAATTCGATGTCTTCAAAAGCTCCAAAAGACATTCCCCTGACCTGTCGCACTGGTGTGGCATTACGTCGAATATGGTTATGGATTTTAGCGGCTTAGGACTGTACTTTCCATATGAAAGTTTTCCATTGAGTGTTACATCGAATTCCCTTGTATCGTTGGCTTTTAGAGTCTGAAGCTCTGCAAAGTGCATGTAGGAGTAAAACTTTGTAGTAGGAGGCTTTAAAATCCAGTTAATGTTTAATGTCGCGTTAGCGTTTAGGGGCGTTACGCACGTTGCCATTACACCTTTTGGTAATTCATATTCGTTATTAACATTTACATCCAGAGTCGTCGTTACTTGTTTCCATAAGTTCTTCACGAACAATGGGTCCCATATACGATCATAGACATCAGATGGGTGCCTGTTACAATATTATATCACACCACATTAATACCAATCTAACTTACGGCTTAATTTGGATCGTTTCAAATGCAAGTAATATATGTTTTAATTTGGATTGACAAGTAATATATGTTTTATTTTTAAAGAATAAAATTTGATAATAAGCCAAAAAAACTCAAAATGCAAACGGTGTTTTTAGTTTCAGTTTGGCTCTCGCGCTTACAGTATACAATTTTTTTAAAAAAAATTAAAGATTCAATTTGAGTGGGCTGGATTAAGATTAATATAAGAAATGGTTGGACAAAAAAAAATTAAAGATTCAATATTGTTTGTCTTATTTGAAGAAAATGCACATTTTTCAAATATAAACATAAATGCATAGGTTTCTTACCTTATAGTACGACTTGAGTTGCTAAGATACCTCCTGGAGAACAAATTCAATGAGCCACTTTGAGTGACGTACGCATTTTTTCTCAGTGGTCGTAGTTCCAAGATATTAATAAAAGGTATAGTCTCACCCGTCTTAACAAGGCAGACCTGTAACGAATTGGATTTCGTCACATGGATGATCTCCTTAGCAGTTTTACTAGTACTCACCGTTGTCCATAAATTTGGACCCATGTAAAGGTCGAAGTTCGGATTGATATTAAGACCATCGTAATTTCCATATACGAATGTGGCCCTGATCAGATAGTTGGTGCCGCGGGTCACATTTAGGTTGTAGCAGTTTCGTAGTCCGTCTGGAAAGTATCTCAATGTCAAACTCGGCTTAGAGTATCTCGATTCAAACTCCTTGGCGATTATACCGGTTTTCCCACTGTTAACTAAACCGGCATCTGATGTATATTCTAAATTGATTGAGTGTGCAGTGTAAGGAGGCTCATTAGGGAGTAAACCGCAATCCACGTTGATGAATCCTAATGACATATTAAAAAAAAAAAATCCTAATGACATAAAAGATGAAAAATATATATCTTATAATTTAAGAAACCGTTTTGAAGAATACACATTCGTGTATTGATTGAAACAACAATTTTGTACGTACCGGTTGGATCATTAGCTTGAACAAGATGAAGTATCAGCATAAAAATGGCAAGGAACACACAATGTCTCTCCATTTTCGATCTTCTTTTTCTTTTTATTTATGAGATATCTTGCATATGAGTATCTGATTATATAAGCCAATATATTCTCAAAAGGTCTAAGTCAAGTCAACTCCTTATAAGTCTCACATTAATCAGTCAAATAAAATTAATTGAGGATAATCTTTTCACGGTGCAAAATGATTCGGTAAAGCATGTTGAGAGAACATGACAAGAGTGTCTTTTTTGGTCGAAAACTCTGTCGTGTACATGTCCTTACCTTGCCCAGCCCTAACTAGAAGTTAGAACCTAAAAACCGTTGAATAAGGCAACCCAAACGAACACGCTGGAATTTTGGCTTTAGTAGACCGTAGACGTGGAAAACAAGTACCAATTATCCAGCTACTCGAAGTTTTTACTGCTGACTTTTTGGACCCATAGGTGTTTCGGAAGAAGCAAAACAGCCTCTGTTTATTTCCTCCGACCGATATTCTGCTCAGATTCATTTATTTTTTATTAATAAAAAGTAATATTTTTGGAACCAAATTTTCTGTACTTCATATCATATCCCCAAATGCTTCGAGCAATTTTCATAATTGTTTGAAACAAAATAACACAATATTATTTGTATTATGAGGTTTGAAAAATATGTTATTCCTAAAATATTTTTCAACTGTTAAAAACGGATTATTATTAACCAAAAATCATTTCTCAACATTTACAATGTTTTGATAAATTGAATTTTCTAAATTTTCAGAAGGTTAGTAAAATAGTTTGTGAATTATTTGAAGATTAAATAATTATTTTGGAGGGTCGGGTTTTCCATTATCTACAATCCCAGCTCTGACCCATAGGGTGACCCAAAATTTTAATTAAAAATTTATTATTGTATATTTTCAAGTTTGATCAAACAATTTATCATTTATTTATATTTATATTGTAAGGTTTTTTAACTTCTCCTGAGTGCTTAGATCTTAGGATCTATTAGATGATTAGAAACTTAAATAACACAAAAGTTTGGTCACCCAGTTCACGGCCTCGAACCGCTACGTCTGGGGTGGGAACCGTCTCCCACAACTTTCACTATCAATCAAAGATTACACAAACGCACTAACCGACGTTCTCTTTGTGTTCAAGTACAAGTCACAGATTAGAACAATAGAAGAGAAGATTTGAATCACAACACAAAGAAGACTCAAACTTCTTTTGGTGCTCTCTTGGATTCCCTCTTCTCTCTTCTCTCAATTGCTCTCTCTCCCTCTGTATCTTAGCTTTGTACTCACGGCTCTTTGACTCCTCTTGTGTTAGGGTTTGGCTTCAAACTCACGGCTTCTTATAATAAAGAAAAAACCGTAGCCGATCTTGTAATGGAATGACGTCTTGTAAACTTAACAATAGATTGGGCTTTATGGCTTTATCTCAAATTTCTGGTCCAAGTGAATAATATTGATCCAAAGCCCATATCTTCACAATCTCCACCTTGGGCTTTGGTTTGCTTAAGTCCATCACTCCATCACCTTCCTTTCACGATCCCTTTTGACGACAAAAGAAAAAACTTGCTTTCCCGACATTGGCTGTAATCTCCGATCACCGTTAAGCCATCTTCACCATTCTCCTATGTCGTCTCTGAACCGCCCTCACGCTTGCAAATTCTCTGCGGCCTTTCCGTTTTCCCGATGACGAGATCGAAGTTTCTCCTTCACTGAATGCAAAACGCGATCTGCAACTCCGGCGAGTTCTTTATCTCCGTCAAGGTACCTTCTAGTGGCCGCCGATGCTTTCTTCCTTCCCACTGAGGACGCCGAGCCCTAAATTCCTTTGATTTCTTCCCGATAGTGATTTTCAAATGCAAATTTTTCTGAGACCCAAAAAATACATCTCCTGCAATTCTTCTGTCGCAATAATCTTCTGTAATCTCAGGTATTCTCAATTTCCTCTTCATCTCCTCTCTGTGATGATTTGAAATTGACCCTTTCTGAGATTCCCAATTCACGAAATTCTGGAAAAATTTCGACCGGTTCATTACGCAGCTTCACTGATGAACAACCTCGTAGCAACTAAACCACTTCATCTTGTTCATTGTTCCGATGATTCCAGGTAACCCTCTTGACCTGAACCATCTATCTTTGCTTGTCTCTGTATCAACTGATATTTCTGAGACACTATGAAATCTTCTAATTTCATACTTTGTAGCTTCTCCAGAAAACTTGATTCATCTTTGTCGACCTGTTGATTCATCTCATGTGCACTGAGCTTTGAATCAACCTCTTCATGAATCACTTCCAGCTATTCCACCTGAAACTAATCAGTTTCAATTTCATCTTCTTTGCAGCTCCTTCCGATGAACAGCCCATGTTCTTCAGCTACTTAGATTACCTCAGGTAAGTCCCTTAACCTGAATCTTGTACTCTCGACTTGCTTCCCAGATTCATGAAAAACACAGCTAACTTGTCTTCCCTTGAATCTCCCAACAGCTCCACCTGGTATCAAAGTCTCCTCACCATGATTTCAGATGACTACAGGTAACTCCTCTAATCCATTAATTATCGACATAAGAACATTTCCAAAACCGACCGTTTCTGTGTTCTTCCTGCGAGAGTACCATGCCAATAATATGGAGTTACCTGGAGCTGTACCAACCTTAGACTATGTTGAGAGGATCGCAGCACACCTGAGCTTTCTGTTCAGGTACTGCTTCACTTACAAACTCTGCTGGACTTTTACTTGTGTGAACTGTAGGTAAAACTAAATCTCCTTTAGCTTTACCTCCGAAGGTACCCGTTTCCAAAATCTCTGAAACCTTTCCCACGCCATTCTCCTTAAACTCCATGCTCAGATTTTCATTAAAGCTTCTGATTTCTTGCAAATCCCTTGAAACTTTCTTAGACTTAATTTCAGCCACCTTTTTAGATTCTTCTGATGAAGAAGAGTCTCCACCTTCATCTAATAAATCTCTTGTTTCAAAACGATATGGAGTAGGTCCTTGAATCAGATTCTCACTGAATGTCACCTTCTTTAACTTCTTCTTTTTCACTTCTACCTCAGCTTTTGGCATGTTCACGTCAACTTTAGAAACTGTGCCTTGAAGATAATACAAACCACCTTGGTATTTTCCAGATATTACCTTCTTCTTGCCTTTGTAGAACTGAACCTTGAAGTTACCTCCTTCATACCTGCAACCTGATTTTTCTAACATCCCATAAGAAATAAGATTCCTACTCACCTCTGGTATGTATTTCACATCCTTGAGTATCACTACAGAACCATCTGGGTTCTGAATTTGAATCCTTCCCATTCCTTTGATGTCACAATGAGTGTTATTAGCCATCAGAACTTTACCACCATCAAACTCCTTGAAGTCAAATAAGACTTCTTTGTCTGATGTACTATGGTATGAACATCCCGAGTCCATAATCCATTCTTTCTTAGTATCTTGCGAACTGACACTTAACACCATTGGTTCTTTTGAATCTGTTGCAACATTTGCAGAGTCTGCAGGTTTCTTTCTATGAGGACAATCCCGTTTCCAATGTCCTTCATCTCCACAAACAAAGCAACCTTTGTTGTTTTTCTTTCCTCTACTCTTAGACCTTCCTCTTCCATTCTCTGACCTCTTTTCTGATCTGCCTCTAGCCTCAACATATAACCCTTCTCCATCTGATCTTGAAAGCTTTTCATTTTCAGCCAGCTCTCTCTCCTTAGATTTTGCAGCACTAGCTATTTCCTCCAACTCAATAGCTTCCCTACTATACTTAAGAGTATCTTTTAAAGAATCATATCTAGGGGGAAGAGAGTTGAGTAGCAGTATTGCTTGAACTTCTTCTGGTATCTCAATGTTGAGGTTGCTTAAATCTGCAATCAGCTTCAAGAAGTCATCTATATTCTGATCAATTGATCTTGAATCCTGCATTTTAAAAGAATACACCTTAAGCTGAGAATGGACTCGATTAGGCAAAGTCTTTGCCATGTAAAGCCTCTCAAGAGTAGCCCACGCTTGAGCTGCAGTTACGCACTTGTCTAGTTTCCTTAAGACATGATCTCCAACACACATGAAAATAAGATTCAAAGCCTTTTCATCTCGCTCCAGTCTGGAAGCTTCATCTTTGCTCTTTTTCTTTATTGCCTCTGGATCTTTTTCATCCACGTCTTTGGATGTCGGTTCCGTAAGAACATCTTTCAAACCTTGAACGGTTAAGTACGCGAGCATCCTTTTCTTCCAGATCACAAAATCACCTGATCCGTCGAACATGCTCACCTCCATCTTTTGTGTCGTCATCATTGAGTTTCTAATCTAATCCTTAAGCACTCACAACCAAACCTGGATGCTCTGATACCACTTGTAAGGTTTTTTAACTTCTCCTGAGTGCTTAGATCTTAGGATCTATTAGATGATTAGAAACTTAAATAACACAAAAGTTTGGTCACCCAGTTCACGGCCTCGAACCGCTACGTCTGGGGTGGGAACCGTCTCCCACAACTTTCACTATCAATCAAAGATTACACAAACGCACTAACCGACGTTCTCTTTGTGTTCAAGTACAAGTCACAGATTAGAACAATAGAAGAGAAGATTTGAATCACAACACAAAGAAGACTCAAACTTCTTTTGGTGCTCTCTTGGATTCCCTCTTCTCTCTTCTCTCAATTGCTCTCTCTCCCTCTGTATCTTAGCTTTGTACTCACGGCTCTTTGACTCCTCTTATGTTAGGGTTTGGCTTCAAACTCACGGCTTCTTATAATAAAGAAAAAACCGTAGCCGATCTTGTAATGGAATGACGTCTTGTAAACTTAACAATAGATTGGGCTTTATGGCTTTATCTCAAATTTCTGGTCCAAGTGAATAATATTGATCCAAAGCCCATATCTTCACATATATAATTGTATAAAAGTAAACCCATTGATCTACTATCCATATATATAAATAAGTAATGTCCATTTCTACATCTATGTGATTAACAAAAATAAGCTAATAATAATCTATTAAAACCTAAAATTATAAACAAAATAAAAACAAAACAGCAATGTTTTGTTTTTCTTTAAGAAATTAAAAAAAC